TTAAAACCCAAAGTATATCAAGTGACAGTTGATGTCCTTTTTGATGTCACGTCGCTAATGCTAGTTTTTCGTTAATAACTTCTCTGAACAAAGTTCTGCAGTGTTGATTTTTTCATGGCATCTAGAGTAAATAGAGATTCGTACAATATGCAAAAATCACATCTAAACCAGCTGATAATTCCGAGATATGCATACTTCAAGTTTGCGATGTCACGACGCTAACGAATGATTTAGCCCATATATACAACTCTATGTTGCTAGCATTTATCCATTTAGTTATTCATTTTATTTCATTTTATTAGAGAAAAAATTATGTATCGTGTGCTTGCTTCTTTATTCTTTGTCTGCAGATTCTTTTTTTTTATGTGATGGTAAGTAACAAAAGGCTTTCTGACAAAATAATACTCGACAACTCTGAGAGTCTTTATAGCGGCTGAACTGTACAAATATGTACTCGTTATCGATCCACACATACAAATGTTTCATTCGATCAAACAAGATTAGCGGACATGCAAAGATTGCTTAGATGAAGGACCTCTTACCGTAGTACGCAGCTCACTCATTCAAGTGACTGTTGAAGTGGACAACTACTGGATAACTGAGGTATGTTTACTCTCACTTCATTCTAGGTTTGATGATGAAAATAGTTCATTCTAGTTAACATTCATTTTCTGAAATCGAACCAATATGTCAGCATTTTGCATCATCAACTCTTACAACTTCGTTCTCGGCATCACGCCTGGGTGTGTAAAGGGTGGTAAGTCAAAAGAATTCACATTTCTAGAATAGTTTGATACTCCTGAATTTATAAAGGTGTGTTCGCAAATATAACAGACTACGATAACTGGCTCTCTCTCTCTCTCTCCGTGACTTATAAAAAAGGCCAGATCTCAGTAGTCGTAACTCATAATGTAAGTTGTTAAAATTAACATTGTTTTCCTCGTACCTCTTCAATGACTTGTAGAAAGTTGAACATGTCCTTCACTACAACATGGAAATTTGGATGCCGAGCAATCTTGTTCAGGATGCAACAGGTGTTTGCAGCGCGCTAGGTTGCAGTGGTACCATTATGAATAAATGCTTTGTGCGTTCGCATCAAAACAAAATTAACAATGTGACCAGTCTTTCCAACGAGACTGCTGATCCAAACTGCAATGCTGATATTCAGGCCTATTTGAACAAATTTCAGCGAACATAGTCGCAGCGTGATGACCATTATAACGGAACTATTGAGAGTGTCCGAGACATGTGTATCTTTGACATTATGACAACAAGTGTTGATGTAAGTTCGTTTTAAAGTATAAAATGTTTCATTACTGATGGATCTGACTGAGTTGTCTTAGAACTTGCTTAGAGTTTCGGAAGCACTTCAGTTTTAAAATCATAGTTTTCGTAAAATGTACAAATATCCACTGGCTGTCCTAGTAATAAAAGCACGACTTAGCTTCTATCTCTAACGACGCTCGTCACATTTTGGAAAAAAAGATGATCAACTTTCACATACTTTGCAGAAATTTCTTCATCTACAAACTAGATAGATTGTCTATCGCTATGAAACGGCACAATGGATTTTATTTGTACGGATTCCTTTCTCATTCGTTGCATTCAATGTTTTACAAATATTAATGATTGAAGAGTCAACAACGGGAGTTGATAACTTGACTGATATTCAAGCTGCCTTTCAAAATGTTTTACCAATGACAGTTACAAATGTGATGTAAGTAGTTAACGAAACTATTCCTCGAGTAGCTGAGATACTCAACGAAATAACTACTCAGGTAGTAAAAGTATTCTTCTTAAGTATGAACTTTTCCCTAAGTTATTCGCAACATAGATTAGTTTCTGAAGCTGTTTCTCCTACATTTATTTAACAGAAGAAAAGTCTTATATGATACTGTTTACACAAAGTTTATGTATTGAGATGCTACTATTTTTATGGTAAGTAGATGCGAAATTTTTTGCAATCAGGGTATTCTTTTTTGAGCTTCAAGTAATTGCCTGACATGCGAGAAAAGGGCTGCTAAAGCCTCATGTTTATAGCTTTTTCAAAGTCTAAAAGCAAATTTCATCTCAAAATTGAAAAGAGATTTCTGAAAGTAACACTCTGTACTTGGATCAAAATATTGGTAGCTCATAAAAAACATGCAATTACTATTTAGATCTCAGATGACAGGACATCTTTGACGTCCTCTGTACTTTCAACCCTAGTGACAACTACAAGCGTGACATTGATGCAAACAGAATCAACGGCTTCCACATGTTGGTCACGTACTCTTTATTTGCTTCTCTTCTGCCTGAGCAATGGAATATGGTTCTGATAAAAAAATAAAATTTCTCAACAGAATGCTTGCATAAAACTATGAAGTAAGTTTTGATATAAATTTAACAGAATCTGTTTTTGTTTGAATGTGTATTTGAATTTCAAAATAAAATTGGTATCCGAGAACAATTTGTCTCGTGCGTGTGTTCGATCCTGATATACTATGCGATATTCGTTATTGCAGGGATTTGATTGCTGGTGTTAATATATGAAATATTGTTTTGGAAACATGCATGTGATAGTGAGTGTTTTTTTTTGTGTGAATTAGTTCAGCGCTCGTTATCACACATAGGCGTATAAGAGAGGAAGAGACGCACATCCATAGAGTCATGACTGTGTCCCACATTTGGGCCCACTACAGTTGTGTACCGACGATCTATATCTACGTCTTAATTATTGTATTGCACCGTTTTCTAAATACCTATGATGAGGGTGTGAGTGCGGGTGAGAGTATATATAGATTTGAATGAACAGAAAAAGAAAATCTATAGCCACACCCTTGCTTACTCAAATGATCAAAATAGACAGCGAATATCTTACGAAGCATAAAGCGTCAAATAGGAATACAAACTTTTATTTAAAATATTCGAATGTGATCGATAGAAAAACCATCATTTCTTCGACTGATGAAACGGTTATATGAAATGCAATACAGTTGTACGTTTGTATGTTTGCATGCACATAGAAACTCACTTGTACACATATATCGGACGAATGATTTTTTATAAAATTTGACCAAAAGTAATCGGGCTCGATGAATCTAAATCTGTCATTGATTGTTCGAAATTTTGAGTTTGATTTTTTTCCGGCAGACAATAGCTTCTCTACAAAAATAATGTTTTTCCCTCGACTAAAAAAAAGTGTAATACAAGAGAAGTTGAATAAGTTTGTATGTATGTATGTATGTATTTGTTTGTTTATTTATTTGCTGCATGCTTACAGTTATGTGCCCTCCTATATTTCTGAATCATCAGATCATCTATGTAAGAGGATTATAATCTGGGTTTTGCTGCTAATCAATCAAATTGTTTTCCTGTTTGGCATTCATAGAAACACCTTTCTAGGTTTTTGGGTTTCAGCTGATTAGAAATTTTCCCTATTATCATCCTAGGTCAATTAGATTTTTTGCTGCTCGAACTTCAGCTAGGCATATATTTTTACGATGAGGGTCTTGTGTAGCTAGCCTTTTACCCTCTAGGTTCTTCGTTAATCAGATGTGGGGGATATGTGTCTGTCGACCAATCATTTTTGTGTTAAAATTTCAGTCGATTACCTGTTTTTCATCTCTGAGCTTGATCTTATATGTTCTTGTGAGATGAA